CCTGTAATTTGTTCATTTTCGTGGTAACATTTGTCTAGCTATATTAGTTATTATTGATTGATCTCGATTCTTGAATAAAACTATGTATTGTGAATTTAAAGATATATTTCGACTTTCTTTTCCTTTACAGAAAAGTTCTGCATTATCAAGATAATAGATAAATTTCTATGATGGGATCCCTTAGTAATTCACTTATAACTTTTGAGTTTGTTGACTCAGCCATTAAGTCGTCTATGATAATCCATTCTGGTATTATTCCATCGAACTTATCAATGATATTTTCTGGTAAGCCTTGAATAAAATTAACATTTGACATTGATGTGAATATCTTGGTATTCGCCATAAAAATATGTGATACGTTCTGGTGGAGGAGAACTCATTTTATTTGCTGATTCGATAAGTTTTCGTAACCATTCTGTTTTCCACATCCAGTTGGACCCGCGACTAACATTGTGAAAGGATGATGTAAATAAACGCGATAGGGCATCTTGTGAGAGAATTTTATTATATTATCAATCAATCATCGTTTTTATACAATTTGATACTTAATTAATTTCTTTATTTATGTAAAGAAAAAGCGTGAGTTGAAAAGAACTGGGTCATCTTTCTTGAATTTAACTAATGCGTCAAAATCAACTGATCGCTCCAATAATTTTGAGGTGTAACAAGTTCTAACTTGGTGAGAAATACTTTAGGATAAAATCCATCATAAGTTGAAGTTAATTTGTTATCAGCTGTTGACCAATCCCCAAGTTTCATCATCTTTCATCAAGATAGGTTGATATTATATAAGCGTCCATCAATTGATTTAATGGTAGATCATCAGTCCAACTAGCATCAAGATGAGTTTTTCCAAGTCACGTATAATTTTCATAACGGCAGTTGTAATTATAACCTTTCTATCAAATTGTTGGATACTTATACCGTCTCGAGAATCAAGTGAGATAGTTACATAATGACTACTTCGTTCCAATGGACTTTCATTCTTAAGAAACAGCTTTATGAACTCCAATAAAAATGTAATCTCCTCAGAAGAAAGGGAAACACCTAGTTTAGTTGGTAATCCTGCAGCATTATAAGTTCGAATATCCAAACGACGAAGCTTTTCTCCATCTTTAAATCCATAGCTTACCGATACATGAATGTACTCATGAACGAATAATTTAGTTGAGGTCCAGGTCATAACGGAAAAGGCCATTTTATATGATTAAATTGAACACGAGATTTTTAATTCAAACAATATAAAACACGCTATACTAATAATGATGTGACGTTTTTTTAATTTTGTTTTCTTTATTTATACCATTGAATGATGTTTAGAGGTGTTTAGACTTCCTAACAAAGATAAAACCGGTTTGTCCTAGAGGTGACAGTAGTTAAATTGATTAAAACCTGTTTGTCTTGGAGATGGTAATGTATTTTAAATGTATTGAATTAAAACAGGTTTGAGGTGGATTAGAAATGACAGTGTTATTTCTAAGACATTTACTGCGCATGAGTTTTACTGGGTTGAGGTGGATTAGAAATGACAATGTTATTTCTGAGCCAATTTGTATGCGCGCCGTTTTTGAATGGGGGTGGAGTGGAAGTGGCAGGGACATTTCTGGACATGGGGTGAAAATGACAGTGGAGTAGAAATGACAGTGGAGTAGAAATGACAGTGGAGTGGAAGTGGCATGTAAAAAAATTATGGTGGGTCCGGGGGTGGACATTTATTGCTACTGATGTTGTTTGTATCGCTGTTGTTGTTGTCTAGTTCAATTGGTACGATATTAGAAGAGTTGTTATTATTCGCGCATTTTGCACAAAATAATTCATTAGTGTCATTATCGAAAAATTGAGCGATACACTTGCTACATTTGGAGCATGGTTGATCATCAGTCTCCGAACTGAGAATCACAACGCAACATCTTTTCGATGGTAAAAGCGTTCGATAAAACTAAGTAAATGAGCCTCACAAAAATCTTTTCATAACAAAACAATGAAAATGGTTTGCTTGTCATAAACGGAATCATCTTCACATCTTTCTTGTCGATAGTTTTGAGATAATCAGTTTTTGAGTTCATATTTACACAATATGAACAGGAATGATATATTGAGCGCTCTAAATGGGCTGTATGGTGTGACTTTGATCGTGACCACAATCCAATTGATTATCATATCCAGTTATTTACTCAATCCCTAGATCAAACAAAACTCGAACATTCAAGTAAAAGGTTAGTAAATAATAGTCAAGAATGCTATACTCTCTTCTTCCGTAATCAAGAGAGAAATGATCAAAAGAGTCATAAGCATAAATATTGAAAGCTAATTATCACGATTACATGAGCTTTGAAAATTACTATCGAAATATTGTTTGGAAATTGTTTAAAGTAACTGTTGAGAGGTTTAAATTGGCACCACTACTTATCAATTGATCATTTGATGTAAATTTTTCTGTTGAAAATCAATTGACCTTCACGATGAATGTTTTTCTTTAGTTACTTTTTATCTTTTTCTTACCTTAATTTGTTTTATGTTTTATGTTATCTGTTTTTTTTCCAATAAAAAAACACTTGAAAATTTAGCTTATGAAAAGTTTATATAAAATTAATTCATTAATTAACTAATGATAACTAATAAGTAATAGCAATCAACTGAACCTGTTCGTTTTTCAAAAGACCAGTAAATTCTGTAATTTATTTCGTTGAAAATCATAGACTATCACGATGAATGTTTTTTGAATTACTTTTCATCTTTTTTCTAATTTTGATTAGTTTTTAATTACATTTCTCCTTTACCCTTTTCCCATGTAATTTTATTTCTTTCTCTATCTCTTTTGCAATTCAATTTTCCTCTGTGTATGTTAAGTGATAATCGGCGAAGTAATAGTAAATCTTTGAGTAACATGATGTCTGGTAATATTTCTAAGCCTCAATTAGTTTTACATTATCTAAATATTTATTGAGCAGATTAAAAATCTTTCAGGATTATAAATTCAGGATTTGTCGAAATCTGGTAAATTTTTAGGAGTAAAGTGATAATATATCAAATAAATAGTCTCCAACTGTAGATTAACCACTATTCCTTTATGAGTGGTCATTAAGCTACATTTAAACTTGTTATGGAAACATCCAAGCCTACTAAGGATTAATTTCACTATGGTGTTATAAACTTGATTGGTCGAGAAATCGAGTGATAAAGCTGAAAACTTCACCAACCTTTGTTATTCTCTAGATAAACGTGAATCAATCAAGCTCGCAGCCTTATTTTCGTCAGTGTTACCAAGTCTCAGGTCGTTCATAAATGTTTTTAGAATACAAGGCCAGGCCATTGCATTGTAATCTTCATTTTGTATGCTAAAAGCTTAGAAAATTTTCTATCAATTGATAGTTTATCTTCATTCTTCAAACACATTAGTATTAGATTTAGCATCTGATGAGTTTATTGATTGCGTTGTGAAAGTATTTCGATCCCTCGTTTCTATTGTTTTGATGATTGAATAGCTTGAGAAAAATACTTTTCATCTTGTTTAGAAAGTTGAGATTCCGATGCTAAAAGTTCAAAGGTTTCTTCATTTCGATGTTGATCCAATAATGTGTCCAATTTATTTTCATTCATTTTGTTTATCATTGATTTAAGGGAAAATGAGGTGTAAACATGAAATTGGAAGCAGGTGGATTTTTTCCTTTTGAGACTAATGGTATTTGTTTCGAGCAATAACTGGTTAGAATAAAATGTTCCACTTGAGCTTCGTTTTGTGTTTGTTCCTGTAACTCCTCTTTTTGAACTAATTCACGAGTTAAAATACTTTCAGGGAAGAAAGTATTGTGAATATCTTTTTGTACATTTTGTCGACTGTTTCATCGGTTGTCTTTTTATCACGAACTGATCTTCGTTTCATAGATAACTCAGGACTTGACCCGCGTGTCTTTCGCTTATTATTTTGATTTAGGGCTTCCTGGTGAGAACTGCGGATAGATCGAGAAGCATTGCCATTTGGGACAGGATTGAAAGAGATAGTGATTGATATTAACAAGTTTCGATCGACTTTATGTTCTGTCATTTTGTTTTTAACGTCTAGCAAGGCTGAAATGACAGATTTTAAAGAATTATAGCTGGTGTCATTGAGATCGAAACTTAAAGATCTCTGAACAACTTCTTGTTTTGCTTCACTTTCCTTTTGTCGCTCATGGAGTTGTTTTAAATTCTCCAGAACTTCTAAAAGTTTACTTTTTCTTTCTAAGCCTTGCTGGATTCCAATTTTTAGATAATTAAGACGGACAGGCAATTTGGATTCTAAAGATGGCGAAAGTTTCAACATCTCTGAGACTAATACACGAGCTTTAAAGTAATTGCCATCCTTCATTAATCCTTTGATTGCGAGTTGTAGACAATTATTGTGATCATTGAATAAGAAATAAAGACCCATTAAAGTGTCGAGAACAAACCAATTGTTTGGATCGATTCGATGAGCTGCTTGAAACATATTCGAGCAAACTGCAAATCTACTGACTGATTAAGTACTCGTTTACCAGTTTCAATTTATAGAGTAACATCACCACCAGCAATGGAAGAACAGTCGAGAAAATAATCCAAATCATTTCTTGTAAGTTGTTTTGATTCGTGAGGTTGACAAACTTTTGTTGGATACAGTTGATAAGATTGCTTGACTTACAGGGGCAGGATGGAGAGTTACATTCATTTTATGGCGAAGATGATATTTGATAAAGTCGTGAGTCAATTTAAGTATATTATCTGGAAAGAATGGACTATGATTAGACTTCCAATTCCGTGGGCCAGGAACCAACTCATGAAAATCAGTCTCTTCGATCCAGCTAAAACCGATTTTGTTAATTCAGGAATATTAGACGATTGGACGATCTCTTCAACCCACAGCCGTAATTTCGAGTCCGCAAGTTTATAGTTGAGTTTATCCGATTTGATTAGATTAATTATTCCAAGTTTATCACTGCGATTCAATAGATCCAAAAATTGTTTAACTTTGTCAGCTGCTTTATTTATTCGCTTATTCGCTGTAAATAAAGAGATAATACAAATGTTAAAGGTGCTAAGTAAATGCTGATGTACAATATCTCTTTGACCTATCCATAGAAAATCAAATTAAATTCAAGCTGAGTTCAGTTCAGTACGGTGATAGTATGATAAATAGACTCAAGAAGTATTTAATGGATAATAAAATAGATGAAGAATCAATATTTACTTTTATCATAATTTAATGGGAAGATGATCATATTAACCACGTTAAAGTCATTGTCGCCGCTAAATTTTCATCAATTAATCAATTAACTGATTTGTTGATTACATTCCTTGTAGATAAAAATCAAATATTCAAGTTAAAGGTTTTCAATAATATTCAAAAGTAGTACTCTCTTCTTTCATGATCAAGAAAGAAATGCACAGTGCGTCTAAAAGTAACTTTATGAACATTTATGAACATAAAAACGTCACTTTGATCATGACCTTAGTCTTACTTGTTGATCAATTGATTACTCATTCTCGTTACATAAAAATGTAAAATCTCTGGCTATAAAAATGCAATTGGAATCATCTCACATATTTTCCTGTCTATGACTTTGAGGTAATCAGCTTCGATGAGATCAGATTTACATAAGGCACATGGTCGGTTTTCTTGTTTACAACGATGACAAAATGTCTTTAAACATTTGTGAACATAAAAAACTTCACTTTGATCGTGATCACAGTCCAACTTGGTGATTGGTTGATTACTCATTCCTACTTATTACTTTCATCAAAAATATTCCCTGACTATAAAAAATCAAATATTCAAGATAAATGTTAGTCAATAAGAATTAAGAATCAAAACTCACTTCTTTTATGAGCAATAGGAAAATGATCAGAGGTTCTAAAGGTAACTTCAAGAACGTTCAGCATCATTAATTAGCATTTTCTATGTGATGAAACTTCAAATCTCTCCCCCCAAATCGTTTCCTTTGTCTCTTTCTTTTTCTCTAAAACAACAAAAACATCGATTTTTTTCAAAATTATTACGTCAGCATCGATCATCGTATATCTAAATAATCGCTCATCTCTAGGGTGAGTTCACAAGAAATTTTCTTTGCTATTACAGTTTAATTGTGGATTAAATTGTCCAACTGATTTGAGTAAACGATCTCTCTTTCTGCTAGCAAGCTAATTGCTAATGAATTTGATGACTCGCACATTCAAATATCAATTAACTTTATATTGTATTTTAATATTTTAGGCAACAGGTTAAATTTGACTAAATTATTTTCGTGAATTTGTAAACATTCAAAAAGAAAAGGAACAAAAACCAAAAGGTGCGCGACTCGAATGTTAATTAACCAGAATTTTCCTTCTTAATCCCAATTCATTTGGATGATATGTTTATCTATTCTTACTTTTTATTTGTACACATTCTCTGTATATCGGCTTTAATTGGCACCAAAGTGTCATGGTTTCTTTTCGCTGTTTAAATGTTAAATCAACTTCTCAAAAACATTTTCCAAGATTGGCCTGATCTATGTCACGAAGATATACACTTTTGATTAACAAGAAATTTTCTCTCAATAACAGTTTAATTGTCCAACTGATTTGAGTAAACGTTTTTCTTTCTCTTACAAGCTAATTTCTGATAAGTTTAATGACTCACATTCGATAATATCAATTACAGTTAATTGTATTTTAATACAAAAATAAACATAAAAGAAATTTCATTGTCCACTTCCGATCGCAAAGAATCTATTTTGACCAATAAAATATTAAAGTAACATTTTAATTCATTTCTCATACGACCAATCTCTTTATTGAATTAGGCCATATTTCGTTTTCTATCTCAATCGTATACTCATTTAGTTTTGTGTTCAATAGATTCAATCGCTTTTGTACATCAGCACGATAAATTTCAAGATTTTCGATAATATTTTCGACGAGTTCAATGTTCCACAAGAAACTTAAACGATTTTCTTGCCTGCACTCATCACAAAAAGTCTTCAAACATTTGTGAAAGAATAAGAGAAGGGGATAAAGAGATTCAAAGGTTGAATTGAGTGAAAGGTCGGCCAATGGATAAAAATGGAATGACCAAGGAAATATTCAAGAATTCGTTAAAGATTCTGGCTAATTTGAGAAATATTGTTAAAAAAATCATCATGGAAATGGATTAATAAAATTAATCAATTGTTACACATTCGACATGTTCTTCGAGAAATTGTTGAGCCTGTTGTTTATAAATAGGATATTCCATCAATTTGTTACAAATTCTCCTTACATCCTCTTTAATTTGATCTAAATTGTTACGATTTCCTTTTGCTTTTGCAATTCGACTTTCGTAAACGTTGAAACAATTTTCCATTGCTTGTTTTCCAAGATAGATACGATCGGTTTCACGAAGAAACTTTGCTACTCAATTCTGATGAAACCAAAAGCGTTGTGATTTCAAACAATTGTTCAGCATCTCCCAAATTCTTGTTTACATTAATCAATAACTGACTTGATCGAAGCATATGAGTGACGTAACTTCCTGGTCTCTCTAATATGTCATCTGGTGTCGTTTGAATAGGAATAGACGCGAAGATACAGTCAAGTCAAAAGACCTTCAAACGTACATTCTGAAGCAGTTGAACTTTCCTCATCTGATGAAAAGCCTTGTGAAGAAGTTGGAAATTGAAATGATTTTGTAAGTACCTTTGTGAGAATCGATAGTCTTTAGTCAGAAAATAATGATGAGCAATTCGATAGAGTGATTTGTAATGCCGATGATAATCTTCTAAAATGTAAAGAATCTCTTCAAGACACATTTGTACTATTCTGGTGAATAGTTTCTCACTGTCACTTTCGAGGATTCCATCATGGACCAGAGTAACCAAATCAGTCACCGTTTCGTTGGCATCTTCCATAATTTCATCATCTGTTTCATCTCTTGGATTAAACTTAGCAACGTAATAGCTTTTTTCAGCACGAATTAGAAACAACATGATCTGTGATAATATTTTTGCTGGCGGAGTTTTGTGCCTATAAATATACTTGAGGACACAAGCGTGAATACGATAGTGAAATTCGGCGCGAAAACACATATCATTGACATTACTACTGTTACTTAGTATTGCTGGACTTGAGAGCATATGAAGCTTAGATAATTCATAATATCGAAGTGTTTGTAAGATGTTACTTCTTTCAGCGATTTTTCCTAAGAAATAATAATTCATCCAAATTTCATCAGCATCACCAAATTTGTTAGCTGATTCGAAGCAAACTCGAGCTTGATCTAAGAATTGCTTTCGCCGTTGATTCATTGCTTCTTTTCTCGAATTTTCCAAAACTGGTCCAAATTTTATGACTCGAGAAATATAACTCGCGATGTTATAAGCACACTTTCCATATTTAATCATTAATTTAGATTCACCTTCTTTAAGTCGAAGTGCTTCATTGTAACATCGACTTGCTTTCTCTCCCAAAAGCAACACTTCATCAATAGCTGAGTAGAAAACTTGACAACTCTGTTTCAAAAGAAATTAGAGATTGGTTAAAGATCAGAATTTTAGCAAAATAAACATAAGATTAAATACTCACTGGCAAAGAATAGCAATGGTAGATTAGATTTTTCATTGCGAGAGTACAACCAGCCCATGAATCAAATCGATTGCAATTTAAAGTTAGATCAAGAATATAAAATTTGATGGCTTCTCTGCGAATTAGATGAATAATATTAAGAAACGTTTAAATTTGCTAGCTATTAAATGAATTAACTTACCGAACCTCTTTGTTTTTCAAGTAATAATCAGCTAAATAATAGTAAAGATCTTGAGTAACATGATTTTTTGGAATAATTGTAGGCTCAATTGATTTTCCATGATCGATATATTCTTTGATAGAATTGGAAAATCTTTCAGGATTTAAATTGTCAGGGACCAAGGGAAGCAAATTGCGTAACATTTCCTCAATATTTGAGCCAATCGATTTACTTGTTTCACTATCAAAAGTTGGTAAAGTTTTAGGAATGAAGTGATTGTAAATAGTACGAATGTCCTTCCAACGTAGAGTAACTCTCGCTTCATGATGAGAGATAAGGAAGCTACATTTCAATTGATTGTAGAAACAACCAAGACAGCTGTTGATTAGTCTCTCTTTCTTTTGTTACATTGATTAATCAGATAATCTAATGATAGAGATAAAAACTCTCCATTGTTATCACCACAAGCACCTCCATGACCTAAATAATCGTGAACTGAACCAATCAAACCGGTGATTTTTCCTTCGTCAGTTTTACCAACTCGCATTTCATTTATAAATGTTTGTAGAATACAAGTCCAGGCCATTGCATTGTAGTCTTTAGTCCCTAATTTGAGCAAATTAATGGCCAACTCTCGATCAATTGATAGTTTATTTCCATTCTTTAAACAAGCTCGTAACAGTTTTAACAATCGATCAGTTAATTGTTTACTTTTAGCAATTATCTCGATCCCTCGTTTCCATTGTTTTGCAGACTGAATAGCCTGACAAAGGTACACTTCTTCTTGTCTAGAGAGCTCAGATTTAGATGCTAATAGTTCAACAATTTCTTCGTGTCGATGTTGATCCAATAATGTGTCCAATTTATTTTCATTCATCTTGTTTATCATTGATTTAAGAATAGATGAACTGTAAACTGTTTGATTTGTTGTTTGAACCAATTTAAGGTTAGATTTTTCGAAAACTTCATTTGCCATTAGAAGATAATCAACTTTAGATTCTTTGATTCCTCGAAGAATCAAAGACGAATGAAAATTTATCATAATCGTTGGGATTCAATAAATCTCGTAGATATGGAACTGATTCAGTCAAAAATATTGCTTCAGGTTGATTAAACTTCACTTCATTGGCAGTTAAGATTAAGTTTGTCTCTTCTGGTGTTATGTTCTTGATTGAAATAGTTGAAAGCAGCGGATAACATTTTCGATGGATTCCATACAGATCCATGAAATTGGAAGGTAATTTGATTAAATCTGCTTGGTCTGCTATTTCGTAGAGAAGATCAGAGATAAGCAGGTGGATTTGTTTTCCTTTGAGACGAATGGTATTTGTTTCGAGCGATAACGGGTTAGAATAAAATGTTCCACTTGAGCTTCGTTCTGTGTTTGTTCCTGTAACTCCTCTTCTTGGACTATTTCACGAGTTAAAATACTTTTGGGGAACATGAAGAAAATCTTTTTGTACATATTGTCGACTGTTGCATCGGTTGTCTTTTTATCACGAACTGATCTTCGTTTCATAGATAACTCAGGACTTGACCCGCGTGTCTTTCGCTTATTATTTTGATTTAGGGTTTCCTTGTGAGAACTTCGGATAGACCGAGGAGCATTGCCATTTGGGACAGGATTGGAAGAGATAGTGATTGATATTAACGAATTCGGATCGACTTTATGTTCTGTCATTTTGTTTTTAACGTCTAGCAAGGCTGAAATGACAGATTTTAAAGAATTATAGCTGGTGTCATTGAGATCGAAACTTAAAGATCTCTGAACAACTTCTTGTTTTGCTTCACTTTCCTTTTGTCGCTCATGGAGTTGTTTTAAATTCTCCAGAACTTCTAAAAGTTTACTTTTTCTTTCTAAGCCTTGCTGGATTCCAATTTTTTAGATAATTAAGACGGACAGGCAATTTGGATTCTAAAGATGGCGAAAGTTTCAACATCTCTGAGACTAATACACGAGCTTTAAAGTAATTGCCATCCTTCATTAATCCTTTGATTGCGAGTTGTAGACAATTATTGTGATCATTGAATAAGAAATAAAGACCCATTAAAGTGTCGAGAACAAACCAATTGTTTGGATCGATTCGATGAGCTGCTTCGAAACATATTCGAGCAAACTGCAAATCTACTGACTGATTAAGTACTCGTTTACCAGTTTCAATTTATAGAGTAACATCACCACCAGCAATGGAAGAACAGTCGAGAAAATAATCCAAATCATTTCTTGTAAGTTGTTTTGATTCGTGAGGTTGACAAACTTTTGTTGGATACAGTTGATAAGATTGCTTGACTTACAGGGGCAGGATGGAGAGTTACATTCATTTTTATGGCGAAGATGATATTTGATAAAGTCGTGAGTCAATTTAAGTATATTATCTGGAAAGAATGGACTATGATTAGACTTCCAATTCCGTGGGCCAGGAACCAACTCATGAAAATCAGTCTCTTCGATCCAGCTAAAACCGATTTTGTTAATTCAGGAATATTAGACGATTGGACGATCTCTTCAACCCACAGCCGTAATTTCGAGTCCGCAAGTTTATAGTTGAGTTTATCCGATTTGATTAGATTAATTATTCCAAGTTTATCACTGCGATTCAATAGATCCAAAAATTGTTTAACTTTGTCAGCTGCTTTATTTATTCGCTTATTCGCTGTAAATAAAGAGATAATACAAATGTTAAAGGTGCTAAGTAAATGCTGATGTACAATATCTCTTTGACCTATCCATAGAAAATCAAATTAAATTCAAGCTGAGTTCAGTTCAGTACGGTGATAGTATGATAAATAGACTCAAGAAGTATTTAATGGATAATAAAATAGATGAAGAATCAATATTTACTTTTATCATAATTTAATGGGAAGATGATCATATTAACCACGTTAAAGTCATTGTCGCCGCTAAATTTTCATCAATTAATCAATTAACTGATTTGTTGATTACACATTCCTTGTAGATAAAAAATCAAATATTCAAGTTAAAGGTTTTCAATAATATTCAAAAAGTAGTACTCTCTTCTTTCATGATCAAGAAAGAAATGCACAGTGCGTCTAAAAGTAACTTTATGAACATTTATGAACATAAAAAACGTCACTTTGATCATGACCTTAGTCTTACTTGTTGATCAATTGATTACTCATTCTCGTTACATAAAAAATGTAAAAATCTCTGGCTATAAAAAATGCAATTGGAATCATCTCCACATATTTTCCTGTCTATGACTTTGAGGTAATCAGCTTCGATGAGATCAGATTTACATAAGGCACATGGTCGGTTTTCTTGTTTACAACGATGACAAAATGTCTTTAAACATTTGTGAACATAAAAAACTTCACTTTGATCGTGATCACAGTCCAACTTGTGATTGGTTGATTACTCATTCCTACTTATTACTTTCATCAAAAATATTCCTGACTATAAAAATCAAATATTCAAGATAAATGTTAGTCAATAAGAATTAAGAATCAAAACTCACTTCTTTTATGAGCAATAGGAAAATGATCAGAGGTTCTAAAGGTAACTTCAAGAACGTTCAGCATCATTAATTAGCATTTTCTATGTGATGAAACTTCAAATCTCTCCCCAAATCGTTTCCTTTGTCTCTTTTCTCTAAAACAACATCGATTTTTTCAAAATTATTACGTCAGCATTCATCATCGTATATCTAAACAATCGCTCATCTCTAGGGTGAGTTCACAAGAAATTTTCCTTGCTACTACAGTTTAATTGTGGATTAAATTATCCAAATGATTTGAGTAAACGATCTCTCTTGCTGCTAGCAAGCTAATTGCTAATGAATTTGATGACTCGCATTCAAATATCAATTAACTTTATATTGTATTTTAATATTTTAGGCAACAGGTTAAATTTGACTAAATTATTTTCGTGAATTTGTAAACATTCAAAAAGAAAAGGAACAAAAACCAAAAGGCGCGCGACTCGAATGTTAATTAACCAGAATTTTCCTTCTTAATCCCAATTCATTTGGATGATATGTTTATCTATTCTTACTTTTTATTTGTACACATTCTCTGTATATCGGCTTTAATTGGCACCAAAGTGTCATGGTTTCTTTTCGCTGTTTAAATGTTAAATCAACTTCTCAAAAACATTTTCCAAGATTGGCCTGATCTATGTCACGAAGATATACACTTTTGATTAACAAGAAATTTTCTCTCAATAACAGTTTAATTGTCCAACTGATTTGAGTAAACGTTTTTCTTTCTCTTACAAGCTAATTTCTGATAAGTTTAATGACTCACACATTCGATAATATCAATTACAGTTAATTGTATTTTAATACAAAAAATAAACATAAAAAGAAATTTCATTGTCCACTTCCGATCGCAAAGAATCTATTTTGACCAATAAAATATTAAAGTAACATTTTAATTCATTTCTCATACGACCAATCTCTTTATTGAATTAGCCATATTTCGTTTTCTATCTCAATCGTATACTCATTTAGTTTTGTGTTCAATAGATTCAATCGCTTTTGTACATCAGCACGATAAATTTCAAGATTTTCGATAATATTTTCGACGAGTTCAATGTTCCACAAGAAACTTAAACGATTTTCTTGCCTGCACTCATCACAAAAGTCTTCAAACATTTGTGAAAGAATAAGAGAAGGATAAAGAGATTCAAAGGTTGAATTGAGTGAAAGGTCGGCCAATGGATAAAAATGGAATGACCAAGGAAATATTCAAGAATTCGTTAAAGATTCTGGCTAATTTGAGAAATATTGTTAAAAAAAATCTTTCATCATGGAAATGGATTAATAAAATTAATCAATTGTTACACATTCGACATGTTCTTCGAGAAATTGTTGAGCCTGTTGTTTATAAATAGGATATTCCATCAATTTGTTACAAATTCTCCTTACATCCTCTTTAATTTGATCTAAATTGTTACGATTTCCTTTTGCTTTTGCAATTCGACTTTCGTAAACGTTGAAACAATTTTCCATTGCTTGTTTTCCAAGATAGATACGATCGGTTTCACGAAGAAATCCTTTGCTACTCAATTCTGATGAAACCAAAAGCGTTGTGATTTCAAACAATTGTTCAGCATCTCCCAAATTCTTGTTTACATTAATCAATAACTGACTTGATCGAAGCATATGAGTGACGTAACTTCCTGGTCTCTCTAATATGTCATCTGGTGTCGTTTGAATAGGAATAGACGCGAAGATACAGTCAAGTCAAAAGACCTTCAAACGTACATTCTGAAGCAGTTGAACTTTCCTCATCTGATGAAAAGCCTTGTGAAGAAGTTGGAAATTGAAATGATTTTGTAAGTACCTTTGTGAGAATCGATAGTCTTTAGTCAGAAAATAATGATGAGCAATT